TCAGCACAGGGCTTTGTGCATGTTAAGTAAGTTCTCTGTTTCTGAACTATACTCTGGACTGATGGCTTGCTTTTTACTTGGTGTTTAGTAATTGTTTATTTTTCCTAAGATGCTTTGCTTTTGCATATGGCTGTCAGTTCTTATGTGTGTGCTTTTGTGTTGCATGAATTTACATCTGCATGGTTCTGTGAAGTTTGAAAAGTGGTTATGTGGCCTTCTGACGTAAATTTTTAAGGACAGATAAATATCCATCACAAAGATATATAGAAATAATCCCCAAATGTGATTAAGTCATTGAGTCTTCTATCAGCATGAACAGGAAATAAATTCTAATTAAATTTGAATTTAATTTCACAGAAAATGAAGACACCTATATTTCATTTATGAAATTTGGCAGCAAGGAAGGGAAAATAAAGTTTATATGGGTTCTTTTCTGGGTACTTTTTCTCCTCAGGGGATATCTGGTTATGTCTAGAGATATTTTTAAAATTATTATTACAGCCAGGTGTGTGCACATTCTATTGGGTTTACTTGAATTTATAGCCCTGAACACCAAATAATTTTCCAGCTTAAATATCAATAAGTTCTGCTATCCAGAAACTCTGATTTAGATGGTAAATCTATAAAAGAAAAATACTCAGGATACTACCTTATTTTGGTTTATGGTAATTTCAATGTCTTCACATAGGTTTCACAATGGATTTCTTTTTCACTGAATTACTATAATATGAATGAAAATATATTTATATTTGTTATAATACATATATTTATATTATAAGCATATTTATTTTCACCTCTGAAAGTTGGGTCCCAGTAAAGTATTATAAGAACTTCTGTTTGCTTTGTGAAGCTATCTTGATTTTATATTTAGGAAAGTTTGCCCCTAGTTGGTTCTTTGTGGTCACTAACTTCTTAGATAGTTATAGCTGCAGCTTTGCCTACTTCTTAGAAACTTAAATCTGTTGGATTAGATATTTCTTAATTATAAGAAAAAAACTGCCAGTATCATCATAGGCAATCAGAGGACCAGAATAGAGCTGTGCTTTGTGATCTTGTTTTATGATTGATACCTTTTTCTTGAACTTTCTTTTACTTTTATCCTAAAGTCTATAAAAATTCTATTCAAGTGAATAGGAAAGATACTACACTGTATTTTATTGACTCTTAGAATTGTATTCACCCACCATTCCTCTTTCCATTCATCCACTTCTTGCCAGTAGCCTCTAACTCCTGCCCTTCAGTCAAGACATGTTTCAGCTTGGGCATTCATTTGTCAAACTGTTCATTGTTCAAAAGTATTATACCATGGTATCTTATGCCTATGTGTACCATACTTTATTCATATATATTCATATATATAATGAATGCTATTACAAGTTGCTGTAATAGAAATAGCTGTTAGATGAATTGTGGGAGAATTATGATGAGACTTACTAGCAAATAGACCACCATTCAACAAATCATACTAGACATGTATAGACCTTAACTGCTTTCCTAAACAATCTTCCTGATAGTTTCTCCTATACTTCTCTCCATTTGGTGGTAGGCAGATAGGTGTTATCTGCATTTCAGAGGCATGGAGAAGGAGAAAAGGGATCATAGTTTTCCTAAGGGTATAGACACAGAATGATAGAACTCTCATGAGATAAAGCCACAACACTGTTGGGCACTGTTGCTTCCAAGAGACATACAGTGAACCTGTAAGCGTTTAATTTTGTGCTCTTTGCACTGAGAAGGTAGGAAGAACACTTCAGGATCTGTACTTCTCTAGGCTAGATTGTCTCAGTGTAATCTGGGGTGACGCCTCTAGTTTGAAGTGGCTTAGAGTTAGCTTCCTGGAGATACTATCGAATCATATTTGCCATAGTTAAGAACTGATGTGGCATCAGCACAACTACATTTAGTTATAACCTAGTGGATGGAAATTAAGGCTCACAGAAAGGAACTCATGTGTGCTGGGGTGGGGGGGTGAATGCTGGTGCCACAGCTGGGCCCAGAATCCTTCTTTCTTTTGTTGCTCTGATGTTCACACAGGCTGCAATCAAGTGCACTCCGGTTTTCACAGGGGTAACTTTATAAACCCTAGGGAACATACTGTGCTCAGATTCCTTCCTTCAAAGGAGATTGTCTATTCTAGACCATGTTTGACTCACTCATTCTTGCTGAGGACTTTTTGAGAGTCCAGCCTCTGCTCAGAGCTCAGGTGCTCAGATGAAGGATGTGGCCTTGTCCCAACCCACACACTGTGCAGGAAGATGTGTGTTCATGCTTCACAGTTTAGGAGGATGAGAGTTCTAGAGAGACTATGGCAGACTGCAGACCACTTTAGATGGCCCAGTCCTCTTCCCACTTAAAAATATTAAAGTATGACTTTGCATTTTCATTTTCATTCTAGTCTGTGTAATTTATGTGTTAGCTATCCAGCTTTGAGTCAGGACTTTTCCCCTGCTTCTTAGTGAGTATCATTGGTGATACTGAAACTGAACTCTTAGTGAGTTCAGTTTTTGATAGGTAGGAGTTAAGCAAACTCACAGAAATTCTTTAAATATAAACTTAGTGAGAAATACATCTCATTGATACACTCATTTGTATTTATATATGTACTCACATTCTATATGGAATCTTCTGCTTAATAAATCCTATATAACTAACTTTATAGAACTTTACAAAGAGCTAGGAATATTCTAGGTATAGATTGCTTAGATAGATATGATGGAAATTACATCATTCTTACCATGGATGTTAAGTGAGGATGACGTATCTGTATCATGCTGTGTTATGAACTGAACACGTTTATGACCACTTCACATGGTCTGGCCTTTGTGTAGGCCCAGTGATAGGTCAGCTAACAAATCAGACTCAATTCCTGTTTTATACACTTGCAAGGCAACACATTATGTCAATAAACATACATCTCATTTGGCAATGACTGCAGGGTGCGCCAGGGAGAGGGTCTCATAATGAAACAGCATGTGAGCAGGTAGCTACAAGTAAGAGAGAAGACATGGATTTGGGAGGTGAAGAGCATTCAGGGGGAGAAATGATGTGTGAACATAGCAAGGAGACCAGTTGGCAGGAGGAGAGGGCAGGCAGGCCAGCACAGTGGAACTGAATATGAGAACAGGCAGGAACCAGACATCAGTCCCTTTGGGTCTTGGGCAAGCCCGGTTTTAACTTAGAGAGATGGGAAGAAGCTGATGGTACAAAGTAACAAGTGCTATGTCTTGGGCGCAACTTTGGAAGGTGGTTCTGGCTGTTGTGTTAAGACTGTACTGCTGGTGGGAAGGGAGAAAGCAAGGTGATGATGAGGGTCCTTCAAGTCCTTCAACTAGAAGGATGCATGCTTTCTTTTACTGGGGAAAGGAAGTTGTGGATTGAACCAGGAAGTTTGTAATGGTAAATTAAGTTCAAGGTGCCCTTTGGACTTCCAAAAGGAAAGCAAAATACAAAGTTGCATCATTCATCCATTTTGAGTAGTTTTTTTTTTTTTTTAAAGACATAAGTATTAGTGAAGGGCTATTGAGTTGGAGGGAGCATTTGAGAGAGGATTTCACTGGCTGATAATTGAAACAAGCTCTTTGGAAGTCCAGGTAAGGGTGGCCTGTCCTTGGATCTAGAGTGTTGGCAGTAGAGATGAAAAGAAAGAGATTCTGAGTGAGAAGACTTGGTAAGTAATTGAAAGTGGGGAGAAGAAAGAAAAGTGAAAAATGTTTCTAAGGTTTCAAAAGCAGATGATTGGAGGGCGTTAACTCCCCTCCTCCCCCATTAACTACCACAAAAGGAAAAGCAGCTTCGAATTTGATTACAGTAACAATAACCAGGTGTCTAGAGAATTACAGTTTATAAAACCCTTCTGAGATATGATTTCAACTGGTCCTTTTACAGAAGAGGTGCTGAGGGAATATCCATGCAGAAATGTTTATCCAGGAACCATTGGAAATGAGTCAAAGGAGGGGCAGGTCCTGGGCTGTACACTTGGGGTTATTTGCATGGGAGTGCTAAGTGCATTCCTGAGCAAGCTAAAGAAGAGGATCTAATGAAGGAAAGGTGATGGCTGAATTGTGGAGAAGGCAATCTTAGGTGCCCAAGAAAATGAGTTGGACTTCACTTAAGTAACTGAAAGTGTAGTCAAGTTACAATGCAATAAACTCAGAAGTGCAATGGGAAAGAACAGCTAGGATTTGCCGCTTTTAAAAGCTCTTTGTCTCTCTGGAGCAGTCAGACCTGACCCCTTCCTGTCTGGGAGGCCATCTTGATCCATCTCCTCTGGTGCGATTTACCATCCTTTGTAGGCACATTGGGACAGCAGACACATGCTTGGACCTCACTCCTCTCTATTCTTTGGTTGTCCTCTCCAACTGTTTTACTCTTCCAGAGCTAAACCTCATGTAGTAGTTATAAGCTGGGTATATGATCGCTACCTTAATGAAAGGAAGGGTAACCAAGCTGGTCTGACGGACTGTTGGGAAACTACCTATGGTCCTTTGAGAACCAGTCCAGGGCAGTGGTGTGTGGTAGATCTTTGACAAGAAGCAGTGCATCTACTCATGGTATTGAACTTGAGGAGAAAATATCAGGTAATCACTAAATTATTTAGTAAGTGCCCCGAAAAGGCAGCCAAACCTTAATAGCTTATCTTTGGGAAGACAGAAAAATAAAAGACTTAGGATTCTAGTGATGGATTATGATTTTTTTCTGAAGTAAGCTTTTCAGGAATCGACTGTTCATACATGAAACACGAGGTTATTATTATTTTTTCCTGTTTGTGCAGGGTTCATTTGGCTCTTTTGTGAAAAAATTCACATTTGAGTGGCCAGGCTCTTGTTTCTGCGTTTTGGAAAAATACCATTTATCTCTGTAGGGCTGTTTCAGTGATACTATCACTGAAGTTTCTAGGTAGTAGAGTCGAAATTTAGGTGGAATTTCCACATATAAGCCCAACCTGCCTCCACACAGTCGGGTCATGTAAACCGTGGTGACTGGTTGCATTTTTGTTACAGGAGTAAGTCCATGAGCGATGTCAGTGCCGAGGATGTTCAAAATCTGCGTCAGCTGCGGTATGAGGAGATGCAGAAAATAAAATCCCAGTTAAAAGAACAAGATCAGAAATGGCAGGATGTGAGTATTCCTAAATTGGTAGAGGGAGTGCGTTACGTGTTGCATTTCCTTCTCTTAAAAGAAAGTCAAGATACTTAAGGGACAATTTCCCTTGCAAGTATAATATTTGACTCTGTAGACATGTAACAAAGAATTTTAAACTTTTTTGGGGGCCTATTATTGGTGCACATTTTAAAAGCCACAGTAAAATAATATGAAAATATTTATCTTCTCATATTTTCTGTGGTATCTCATAAGTTGTTTCATTTCCTTGTGTTTCTTGCTTTGGTGGTTGAATTAGATATGACTGTTCATTATGTTTTTGTAAGGAAAAGACTTTGATTAGGGTTAGGATTTATAGTGAACAGGGGTACTGGCATTTAGTAGAGAGAGATTAAAACAGGTTCTTAAGGCTTCTTGAGAAGACTGGGAGAAAATACAACCTAGAGTACAGTTTTGGCTGAAGAAATCATTATTGCTATGAATCAAAATTGAGATGTTTCAACTGAGCTGACATCTGGGTATTTAAATGGGCATAGACTTACTCTTAACCGTAAAGAGGAAAGTATAACCTTTTCTATTTTTGAATGTAGTTGTTGTTATAAACAACTATAGTAGACAAGCTATAAATAAGAAGATGGTAGAAGTTTGAGGACTACTTCATAGTAAGAGAGTCGAGGGGTAGCCTGAAACAGGAGGTCAGAGAGCAAATCTAAATTTTCATAGGAACTAAAATCTATTCATTAGTAAAGCAACCACTGATGGCTACCTTTCTAAAATTCAAGTCCTTTTTTCTTTGGGGTCTCAATGTTCAAAAAGGCTCAGTGTGGGGCTTACCTCATATATGTGAGACCCTAATCTTGATCCCTAGCACTGCCAAACAAACAAAAAGAAAGGAAAAGCCTATAAGGTTTTATAACCAAAATGTCTGGTGAACTTTTTGATATGAGAATAACTTGGAGAGAGGAATGTCTATTGAGTTAAATCAGATGAAAATTCATGCCACTTATCTGTGGGATGGAATGCATAATGCTTTTGTTCTTTCTGGTTATCGTTCATATTGCTCTCAGGCTGTCTGAAAAGGAAAAGTGGCCTTGTGTGCTACCACAGTGTATCATCAAACTTACTTTGCATGCCCTAAGCGTGAGGTTCCTTTTAGTCTGAGACCTTGAATGTACTTCTTTTTTAAAAATACATTTTAAATTTTATTATTATCTTTAAATAGTTGTACAAAGGAGTTACCATTTAACAAAGCAGTTTATGAATATATCTTGATCGATTGTCACTCCTTTCAACATTCTGACTGGAATGCCTCTTGCTGTTTTTAACATGATGTTTCTCTGCTGTAGAGTCATAGCTTTCAAAATGTCTTAATCCACTTGGAGTCAGAATGAGCCTATGTTGCTAGGGGTAGTTGAAAATGAGTTGGGGGGATTGTCCAGGGGTCACCTGACTAGGTTAGGCCTAACGTTAGGGAATAAGGAAAACAGATGCTGGTTTGTTCATGTATGATCTTTCTCCGTGCCCTAAGCTATGTGGAGTTTACCCACTTTGAGATCATACAATATTCTAGTCTGGCCTGCCCAGTGAAGCCTTTACAAACTCTTCCTTTCTGGAGGTGTAAATGACTCTCTCTCTTTAGAAACCTGGCTTTTCTAAGTGATCTATGACAGTTGTTACTGACTGTTATTTACATGTCTGCCTTATCCTTCCAGAATGAGCCTTCTGTGGAAGGTGCCATGACTTAGTGACCTGTGTGTTGCAGGGTCTTCAGCTCCTTTTAGCTGAGTGAGACTGCTCACCAGCTCTTGACTGTGACAGTTAACATTCCCATTTCCATCTTTCTAGTGAACACATTCTGTCCCATCACAGCAATATTTGTGGAGTGAGATGAAAACAAACTTGAGCCGTTTCCTGCTAGCTCTAACCTAGCACCTCATTACAAGCAGTTAGCATTCTGTGTGAAGTGAGCAAGGAGGCGAAGGCACCGTCTGGAAAAACAAAAATGGGGTTGTATCTTATTAGGTCAGTGTTTGAAGACAGACCCATAAGATAAAGGCTTGGTACAGAAACACTGGCTATAAAAAGCAAAATGAGGGCACCTTGGCACAAGTGGGAGTGAGTAGTTTCAGCGATGTAACAGGATCGCTGGTGTACTCTTGCTGCTCACAGGGGGCGTGTAGAAATTCAGGTATGACTGGGCTGATGTGATTTTATTTTTTCTCTCAGGACCTTGCAAAATGGAAAAGTCGCCGGAAAAATTATACTTCGGATCTGCAGAAGAAAAAGGAAGAGAGGGAAGAAATTGAAAAGCAGGCACTTGAGAAGGCAGACAGAAGCTCCAAGACGTTTAGAGAGATGCTACAGGACAGGTAAGAGGCTGATGTTCGGAGATCTTCCTATGGCAGACAGAGGTTTTGTCTAAGTGTGGTGACACAGGTGTTGTCCAGGGTTTCGTGTTGATCAAATGTGTGGCTGAAACAGCCAGGGTTTTGCTCTGCAGTGGAAAAACCAAGTATTCCTGAAATGGTGACCTGTATTAAAAGAAAAGAGTATTTAACTAGGTGAGCAATAGTTCTTGTCTCAGGTACATTTGCTTGTGGAAATGGAAGCTATTGGCTATATTTGGTGCAGAAAATACCCTACTTTTTACTCTTCAAAAGTACTTTTAAGAATGGAAAGGGCTAATTAGATCAGCCTCACTATTAACTAAATCATATAAACTAGAATAAAGTTCCTTTGTCAGCTCTAGTGGTGTAACTTCAGTTATATTTTAAAGGAAGTATATAGAAGCAAGTGTATGAGCTTGTTGATTTATTCTTTGTGTTACAGTGTGGCAAGGTGAAGGTCACATTTAAAATCTCCTGTAAAGCAGTTACCATGTGAAACCCTAGCATATTTATAGGTCAGGGAGAAAGCAAATATGACTTAAGAATAATGTCAAAAAGGAAATATACTGCTGGGTGAGATTAAACAGAGCCTCTTTGTTTCTGAAAAGCCAATGATAAACAGAGTTCCATTCACTTAAATGCAAGACAGTTAGCCTGGGAGGAAGATGCTTATAACTAACTGTTAAGTGAGTCTGCTTTTACCAACTCTATGAATAAGAATAGTGACTTTTTTGATTTTTAAATATGTTTTTATTGTAAAATATTGTACAGAGGGGTTACAGTTACATGAGTAAGGTAATGAGTACATTTCCTATTGAACATTGTTGCCTCCTCTTTTGTTTTTCCCCTACAATCCCTTCCCTCCCCACTTCCCCAACTTCCTCCCCAAGTTGTAAAGTTCGTTTTCAACATAGTGTCTTGTATGGGTCAACCTGTATCCCTATTTAAGCATTTTGTTATTTCCCTTCCCCTCCCCAAGTTAGAGAAGTGTATATACTAGATGCAGGGCACAGGAATAAATACAGTGAAAACAGGGGTTATACGATAGGGGAAGAACATACCAAAGAAACAAAAAAAAAATCACATAGTATGTTATACATACGTTAAAAACAATAGCAAGAAAGGAAAAAAAAAACTATTTGTGTCCCTGTCGTGGGGTTCATTTCGCTTAACTATAAAAGATTTTATACAATACTTTTTAAGAATAGTGACTTTTAACTTATAATAATTATCCACAGAGGTTTAATCAAAATGCATGACATCATACACTGGATCTTTATCGGAGCCTAAGTCTAAGTGCTATTCTATTTTTAATCATATAATTGTAAATTTATATAGGAAAATGACAATGTGATCAAGGAATCTACCCCCCTGCAGGGTTCAAATTGGGTGTCAGTCACTTTTATATAATATTCTAATTTTTTGAAGGGTTAGAGGATAAAACTGAATAATTCCTTGTTAGAAATTCCCTGATTTGTTACCAAAATCTTTTCATGACTAAAGAAATCTTTTTAAAGTATTTGAGAGCCTCTTTCCTAATAAAGGTCAAGTTCTTTTTTAGTTGTGGCAATGAAAACTATATATCATTTTACCCTTAGTGTTGTATTATTGTGAGTCAGTAGTGTTTTTATTCCTGAGCCTCTTAAACATTAGTAATTTTCTCTCACTTCTGGGTTAAATGCATAACTCTGTGGTGATGGTGCATTTCTCTTTGCTAAGGGAATCCCGAAATCAAAAGTCTACAGTTACATCTAGTGGGAGATTGTATTCTTCCGATGATATATCAAATGATGAAGAGCTCTCTCCTTCACTGACTCTGTCAGAAACCAGTTACCAGAGCCAGAGAGCAGAAGAGGAGGGAACAACTTTTCCTACTGAATTTCCTAAAGAAGGCTCTACACGTTTCCTGAACATGCAGGACAGTGTAGCTACTGAAACGGGGCTTCCTTCTAACCCCCCAGCAGAAGAACAGCGCTCAGCTTCTTTGTCTTCTCAGCATTCACTGAGTACACGAATGGAGGTGACTCGAGTTTCAGCTTCAGCCTCTCTCCCCAGAAGCTACCAGAAAACTGATACAGCCAGGTTAACATCTGTGGTCACACCGAGACCTTTTGGCACTCAGGCAAGGGGAATCTCATCACTCCCCAGATCCTACACGGTAAAAAACAACAAACGCTCCTGGTTCATCTAGTTTGGTCTGAAGTGTAAAACATTGGGGAATATGTCCAGAGGCTGGAGTTAGAAATACTTATGTGTAAAATATCTAATATATATGTATATATATATGTGTGTGTGTGTGTGTGTGTGTGTATAGATATTTATAGAGCATTTGTATGCCCATTTATATTCAATAGAAACTTAATGCTTCAAAACAGCAATGGTGCAGGATGTTGAAAGTTAAGTAGGACTGATAGTATTTTAAAGAATGAGTAAGGCTTACTCTAAGGCAAAACATGCATTTTTAGTATTTCTTTCAAATATAGCTGTTGTAAAGTATTGGGTTAAGCAATATTAAATTGACAACAGTCATCTCCTTTTGATCTATGCAAACAGTCATTTTATATGGTTTAATCTAAAGATTTTCAAGAGCTGCTATACAAATTGTGTTTTATCTTGATTTCCCACTTCAGAACTTGATATATTTGAGTATTCTGACTAAGGTATCTTATTCTGATATACACATTTCTATTTATATTGGGATTTTGAAGCATGCAGAATAGTGCAGCCTGTTTCCTGGTTATGAAATGGCCCATGTGAACTTTTATTTTGGGAAAAGAAGTAACACAGTCTCAAGATTCATGTTTGCATTCCTATTCTGCCAATATTCAGCCTTAAAATTATTTTAAAAAAATTTCAGTATTTGTGGTGAGGGCAATTAGGAAACTTCTGACTATTTCCCTTCTTTAAAGAGAGAAATACAGACATATTTGATGACTTAACAATTACGTTTATAGGATAGATATGATCAACATAGTTAAGATGGTTGATGATGGAGAAGAGGGCTGTCACACACACTGTATCATAAATAAAGGGTTAATATCACTAGGGTAGGAAATAATTCAACTTTGGAAAAATAAAGAAATGAATGGCCAATTCAAGGGAGAAGGAATTTGAATGGCTGATAACATAAAATATACAGAGCCTCTTTAGTCTCATTAAAACAAGAAAGAGGCATAGGACTTTTTACCCATCAGGTTACAGACATTTAAATTCTGGAAATACTTAGTGTTGGTGAGGATGCAGGGAGAAATCGATGCTTATATATTACCATAACTTAATATTCAGAAATTTTATTGTATAAAACCTTGGATCCAGCAATTTGGGGCAGGGGAGATCTGGGCTATTAAAATATCAAGTTCCAGTTCTAAAGATCTATGGAGAGTTAGATATCATAATTTTGGGAAGAGACTGAAAATAGGCAACTTTAAATGCATATCAAATGAATAGACTACTGATATTCATGCTAGGAAGTCTATAACTAAAAGAACCTTGCTTAAAGTTCCTGTTGACTTAGGGTAATGTAAATAAGCAAAGCAATTTTCAGAAGCATGCATATAGTAATACTTTAATTAAAAACAACGATTCTTCCTACTATGTAAGTGTTTACCTGTTGGGGTGTAAGAATGTACTCCAAGGTTTTAACAATAGTTACTTTGCTGTGAGAGGCATATGTTACTTCAGTAGTTTTAAAATATTCATGAGTATCTTTTTTTAAAACAGAAAAGAAAAGCCAACAGAATATCAAGTTTAAAAATGTTGTTTCCCATTTAGATGGATGATGGTTGGAAGTATAATGGGGATGTAGAAGGAGCTAAGAAAACTCATCACAATTTGGCCAGCACCCCTGCCCCAAAGCCTGACACCAGCCAGCTTGTTTCCAGCATGTCCAGTGAAATGGAGGCAGCCGCAGGAGAAGATGTGACGGGGAGGCTGACTTCTCCCATGTCTCCTTTCTCATCTCTCTCCCAAGAGGAGGCTGCTGCTCCTAAAACCACACTGTCCTCCATGTCTGGCCCCGATTTACTGTCTGACTCTGCTGAAGAGAGAAGCTTATTTCAGAGAGAGGTCTCAAAGTCTCAGGTGAGTGTGGAGGGCTTTTTTTTTTTTTAAATCAGCAAGACTCAGCTACCAAAGGGTTTAAATCTGGGAACAATGCTTTTAGTTCTTAGCTGTTATAGGACAAGCGGAGCATGTGTTTACTTTTGATGTATCTTAGAGAAAGTGCATCTCTTCTCACTCTGAGTTTATGGATCTAGAGAAACCCCATGGCCTGTGTCTCTAGAGAGTACTCTACATTTCAGCAGTTTATGGTACCAAAACCAATTGGAGGTTTGTAGCATAGATCTATGGTATTTGTGGATAATCAAATACCATTCCCTTTCCCAGGAAATTAACTGACCATCAAGAGAAATTGATATCTGTGGTGGGTGCTGATCTCAAGATAACATTTAATTCCATCAATTTGAACCTTTTTTTTCTGGTACAGGTCCTGAGACTTGGATATCAGGGCCTGAGCACTGTCCCTGAGCTTCTTTGGCTCAAGGCCTGTGCTTTACTACTTGAGCCACACCTCAGTTTCTGGCTTTTTGGAGTTTAGTTGTAAATAAGAGTCTCACAGGCTTTCCATCTGGGCTGGCTTCAAACTATCTGGCTATCCTCAGATCTCAGCCTCCTGAGTACCTAGAATTATAGCCAGGTGTGAGCCACCGGCCCCTGGCTCTAGTGACTTTTTATAATTTTGATTTATACTTTTGAATGTCTAGACTTTGGGGGACTCAGTTTCTCTTTCTCTCTCACCACCCCCCCCCCAAAAACCTCTCCCGACTTTGTTATTAGTAGAGAGGCTTTAAAAATGCAGGACAATCTGTGAGACTGTTATCTCCAATTAACCACTAAAAAGCCAGAAATGGAACTATGGTTCAAGTGATAATAGTGCCAGCTTTGAGCCAAATAGAACTAAAAGCACGCAGGGCCTGAGTTCAAACCCTAGGACTAACACAAGAAATGAAAGGAAAGGAAAAAGGAAAAGAAAAAAACTTGAAAATGTTATCATTTACAGAAAATCTTATCTCAGTTTTTCCCATGTGTATTTACAAATATATATCTAAGAACAATTTTGTCAGCTTATTAAAACCTTTAGCTAGACATTATTCAGTTACTTTTTTGTTGTTGTTGGTTATGGGGCTTGGACTCAGGGCTTGGCCACTGTCCCTGAGCTCTTCCACTCAAAGCTAGCACTCTATCACTTTGAGCCACAGGATCACTTCTGGTTTTCTGGTGGCTAATTGTTAGTAAGAGTCTCCCGGATTTTCCTTACCCTCCTCAGTAGCTAAGACAGTACAGGTGTGAGCCACTAATGCCTGGCTTGATTACATTTTTAAAGACTTAGAAATACATTGAATGTCGTAAATTTGAACAATAGCTGTATTATGTGTAGGGAACATAAGGTGAGAGTGGGCATATAAAAGCAGAGGAAAGGCATCTTTTGTTTTATACTTGCCTTCGCCTTTACAAATAGCAAATTCACAAAACAGCCTAATGAATGCTGTGCATGCTCCCTCAGGGTGGCAGCTGGTGAGCTACGTCCATGGATTAAGGGAACAGGCTACTTGTAGTTCGTGGGTGTGTTCCTGGCTTTTGAAGCTCAGAGGAACCCAAATTAACCTGGCATCATTTCAAGTTTCCTCATTAATGGATTTATGCTCTTCTGTCATCCATCTTGAAAGGGTAATCTACCAAAGGAAACTTAGGCTTTATTTAACCATTGGAGCTACTGAAACTGTTAAACATTGGTGTCTTTCCTCTGGTGACTCTGATTGCTTAGTGTTGGTTTCAATGCTACTAGGAAAGAAGGCTCAGAGTTTACTGAATATGTAAAGTAGCTGGTGAGAAATACATAAATGGCCTTGTATAATAATCTTCTTAGATTTTGCATAAATGCTATAGGTGTTCAGAGAATAACAAAACCAAATACAGTGTGTCTGAACCCCTAGATTTCTGAGTTGCCTTGAAAAAAGTATATTCTTTTTCATCTTCCTCTCTATCCTGACATATTTCTTCTGGTAATGTCTTTACAGTTCTTTGCCTCCCACCCCCACCCCGGATCTTTCTAGGGGTTACCCATTTCTAGTGCCATGTACTTTTCTATCAATGAAATTCTTTTATACACAGTCACAGGTGTCTCTGTATTCTCTGCAGGAATGTATCATTAGCTTGCCTTGGTGCTGTGTTAGACTCAGTAATTTTTCTGCTCCAGTCTCAAGTGGTGTGATACAGCTTGTTGAAGTTCCAGGCACTTGCAGCACGATGTCTCTCATTACTTTCCCCAAATTCCCTTTGTTGTACCATAACAACTAACGTTCATCGTGTGCTTCACATGGGCCAGGGGGCTTCTCTCAGTGAATCAAAGTGATTCTATGACGTCAGTCTTGGCATTAACATCTCTGTTTTATAAATGTGAAAACTGAAGCAGAAAACAGTGACTTACTTGTCCAAGACTATACACAGTATCAAATGATGGAGTCAGGATTTGAACCCAGGCAGTATGATCTGAGATTGCTTGCATTTTGTTGTGTTATGGGAAAGATAGTTCATTCAGTTACACAAGAAAGTTAGCTTTTTCTTTCTTTCTTTTTTTGAGCATATCTTACCTATTTTGTCCTTCCTGTTCTCTCATTTGAAAATATTTACCTCACCCACCTCTGCTGTTTAAGGTTATCCTCTCCCTTCAATGCCCAGGAGAATTCTGGAATTGAGGTATCACTTTTCCCTAGTTGTAATTGAATTACCCACCCTTGAATACTTCACTGGTTGATTTCTTCCTTGTTCCATGGATTCATGTGTTCCTCCTTCGCTGCTACTCTTGTACCTTCTACTGTTTACCTACACTTGGCAACTGATTGAACGGCATTGAAGGTCTCAAATACTACTCTGAAGTATGAACTTAATCCAGGAGGTAATTTAGAGTTCTTACTGATGCTTTAGTGTGGGGATTTTAAGATTTAATGAGTCTTTTTAGGAATGCAGGCTTTGTGATGTTATATAGAATTATTTTAAGAAAGTAAAGTCTGCAGGCAGGGACTGGTTAGGAGCCCATCATCAGAGAATTTTTGGTAATAAGGTGGTTTATGCCATAAAGAAGGAAAAGCATAGCGAAGGCAAGAGCTTGCTAGGGCCTGGTTGACAGTCTACCCACAGGAATTTCCTTTCCTTCCCTACTGCTGAGTTGGTGGCTTTGTCCCCCGACGCCCACCTTTTGGCCTTTTCTCTTTTGATTAGTGCAGTTTCCCCAGACTTCCTCGTCATTTCAAACTTCCAGGCAATTCTAAGGGAGAGAGACTTGGAGTCCTTTTTCTGTCTCCAACTGTATCACAGATGTGGCTTGCATGATTTTCTTCTAAATTGGTCCTTTTTCTTTAAAAAAAAAAGATCTTTAAGTAGTTGTACAAAAAGAGTTTCAATCAACATGTCAGTTTAAGAGTCTATGTATGTCCATCCATGTCACTCCTCCCATCATTGTCCTCCAGCTCTCCCAACCACACCCATACCTTCAAAGATTCATCCCGAGGATTAATCAATAATCTATACTTTAATCAAGTTGTCATATATATACATACATATGACCCTCAATATATTTTCACACATATATAATTTTAGATTTAATTTCCACATGTGATAGGAAACTTGGAATATTTGTTTTTCTGAAACTGACTTAAAACTTCTATTTTCTCTTCTCTCCTTTCAGTATTCTCTGCTCTTAAATTCTAGACAAATCCACCATTCCAGGCTGTTAGCCCAATAGCCCCCTCTCTCCTTTCCAAGGCAGACACTCAGCCCAATTAGTAAAGGCAGTAAATAATCAACCTCCCCCCACCCCCTTACCTGGAGATGGCACGCCTTTGGGATTGCTACAACCATATAAAGCAGCAAGGTCCCTTTAGAGTGACTTTCAGGTCTGGGAATCTGCAGGACCCCTATCTACTGTTTAGGCAGCAGTCATACATCCTAGCTGCCATGATGAAGTTCCTGGTCCACATGTCCACACCAGGGTCTCCGCCTCCTAAGCCCTCCTAGGTCCATTAGCTTCTCTCCTGTGAGAGGGGGTCTTGCTGGTCCCTTTCCTGGCAATAAACCTTTTCTTTGTTCTTTGTACCTGGATGACTGTGTGGTTTTCTGACAAAGTCTAATTTACTCTAACACGGGCTTTTCAAGGAAGTGTCCCAGAGTCAGGTAACCTATGGGAATAAAAAAGCAGCTTTTTTACAAATGTATTTCCTGACCCTCAGCCTGTAAGCACCCCTTTAAATAGCCATGGTTTACCTTTGAACTTGATACTTCATATTGTATATTTACCTGTCACTTTCCACAGACTGCTCTCTCGAATTATGGAGGGGGGGAAAAAAAAACCCTTAGAGCCCAGTGCCCAGAAATGTAAACAGTCATTGAATGCTGACTGACTGAGCCATCTTGGCTTTAGGGCTAAGGACGTGAGGCTTAGATAGGATTTTCTTTGGTTGATCTGGAAACTAACCAGCATGTCTACCATCTTTAATATTGTTTCCATGGGAAAAGAGAAAATGATGGCCAAGCATCCACTGATTGCCTCAGCACATAGCAATGCTTTCTTTAATCCTCCCCACAACCTTCAAAGCAGATGAGATATTATTCCCATTTTTACTGGTGAAGCACTTGAGATTTTAGAATTCCATGACTTACCCTAGGCTGCTAAAATGCTGAAACTACCAGAACAGCTTCTCTGACCCTGTTTTGTGAAATGCAACATGCCCAGATTTGAGGACTGCCTTATATATTGTTGTTGACCTATTTTAATTTCACTGTGTTTTGGGAATTTTAGAACTAATAGGGAGTTAAAATTTTTTCTATGTGAGAGGCAGTTTCTTGCTACATAGCCAAACTATTCTTGAACTATCAATCCTCTTGCCTCTGTTTCCCAAGTGCTGGGGTGATAGGCACTTTCAGAAGAAATGATTTATTTCTGAAATGTGAAATTACAAATCTACTAAGTAAACTGGGTGCTGGTGGCTAACGCCTGTAATCCTAGCTACTCAGGAGGCTGAGAT